ATTTTCTTCTTCTTCTCTGTCTAGCCAATGATTCTTTCCCTTTCATAAAACAACCAAATTCCTTACGAAATATTCGAAGACCAAGAGGAGTAAACGAAGTTGTTCAAGCCAATATCTTTCTGTGTTGATTTGGGAATACAGAAGTGAGGCAAGGTAAGGAAAACCATGCATCTGAACTTGAATTAGAATTGAAAGGCATAAGGCTCGGGCACAAATGAGTAGAAATAGCGATTTTCTCCATTTTGGAGTAGAAATTGAGAGGAAAAGAGGGAATCTAGGGAAAATGGACCTTTTCTATTTTGGGTTCTTGATTTGGTTCTACTTATCCTCCAGCTCGACGAGACGACATTAGGGTTGTTCTTGAACAAAGACGACGGAGTTTGGGGCTGAGAAACTTGAATTTTCTGTTAATATATTTCAATGTATCTCGCTGTATTTCCATGTATTTCACTGTATTCATTGTCTTTTTTTTCATTGTATTTCAATGTATCCCATTGTATTCTATGTATTTTATTATATTCACTATCCCGCTATATGCCATGAATGTATTCATAAGTTTTTTTAATTAATATAATTTATGTATTCAGATGTATTATATAATTTCTCTGAAGATTGCTATATTTTTGGGGTATTTTTCGGTTGGGAATCTTTTTTATAATTGAAAATACAAAATTTGTGTGTTATAATTGAGTTTGTTCAGTTATATTAGGAGTCTATTATGTTAATTGATTCACCTTTTGTTTTAAAAATAATATAATCCCCTATTTCACGCCGTGAATACAATAATATGTTCAGTTGTAATCCCATGTTTCACTCCATGAATACAGTCGAATACACTCGAATACAACAACTGATTAACTGGACTTCCCTGTTTTACGCCTATTTTTGCTACTGTATTCATGAATACAATAGCTTAAATACATCAAATACATCTTATAACGACAGAAAAGGTATCTATAATCCATAATATAGCAAATAGTATCTATAGATGGCTAATTACTACTAAAAGATGATGCTTTATGAAAATTTCTCAATAAATAATGGGCTAGGCCCAAGTGATCCAATTGTTGTGTTGGCCCAATCTTCAAGTAACCCCAACATCCCCCCTCAAGTTGGAGGGTGGACATATGCCCAACTTGCCAATCAAGTTGCAATGGTGTAGACATGTCAAAGGTTTAGTAAAAATATTAGCTAGTTGGGAACTAGTAGAAACATGGGACAAAGAGATAAGACCATATGCCAACTTAGTGCGAATGAAATGCCAGTCGATTTCGATGTGCTTGGTACGTTCATGGAACACCGGGTTCTTGGAGATATGAATAGCAGCCTGGTTGTCGCACAAAATAGGAACCGAGAGAGCAGCAGTGAGACCCAAATCAGATAGCAGGCAGACTAACCATGCTAATTCAGCTACCACTTTACTCATGGCTCTATATTTTGCCTCAACTGAGGACAGGGAAACAATATGCTACTTGTTAGACTTCTAACTGATGAGACTACCACCTAACTGAATGCAAAAACCAGAAACTGAGCGCCTAGACTCGGGGCAAGCTGCCCAATCATTATCACAATTGGCCAACAAAGACAAATCAACAGAATTATTTAACAAGACCCCAAAATCAGAAGTGCCCTTTAAGTATCTCAATACATGTAAAACGACAGTCGTATGTGGAACTCTAGGTTGCTGTAAAAATTGACTTAAATGTTGGATAGCAAAGCATAAATCTGGTCTACTGTGGGTCAAAAAATTTAGTTTCCCAACTAGACTCCTATAGCTTTCAGGTTGAGGTAGTAGCTCCCCAACATTATAATGTAACTTGTTGTTCATGTCCAAAGGACTAACAACAGCAGAAACATCAGCACATTTGTATTCTGATAGCAAATCAGAGATAAACTTCTTCTGAAACAAAAGAATACCTGACTGAAGATAACAGACCTCAATACCCAAGAAATAGTTAAGCAATCCCAAGTCCTTAATTTTGAACTGAGCATCCAAAAAAGCTTCAAGAGCAGAAATTTCATCCAAGTCATCACCAGTCGCAATAATATCATCTACATAAACAGCTACAAGAGTAGTACAACAGTTAGTTTTCTTCATGAACAAGGAGTAGTCATTCAATGAGTGATTATACCCCATAGAGTAGTGTGCATGGGACAGCTTGGCGTACCATTGCCTAGAAACATGTCTCAAGCCATAAAGAGACTTTTGCAATTTGCATACCAAAGTAAGAGACCCAAAAGTAACAGAAGAAGTAGAAGCAACAAAAAGAGCTTGAGGAAGTTTCATATAAATTTCTTCATCTAGATCCCCATGCAGAAATGCATTATTAACATCCAACTGAAACAAAGGCCATTGTTTTCTGACAGCTACATCAATTACACATCTAATAGTGCACATTTTAACAGCTGGAGAGAAAGTTTTATTGTAATCAATTCCTTCAACCTGAGTATAACCTCTAACCACCAATCTAGCTTTGTATCTCTCCACACTGCCATCAGTTTTGTATTTAATTTTATACACCCACTTACACCCTATAGGTTTCTTCCCAGGAGGTAGTTCAACAATTTTCTAATTCTGGTTTGCATCTAGGGCCTCAAATTCTTTTCTCACGACACCTTACCAAGTAGGAATAGCAGTAGCCTGAGTGTAAGAATGGGGTTCTACTGCAATAGACTAGAGTGAAGAAGAAGAACAAGAATCAGATGAAGGGAGCTGAACCACATAATCCTTCAAGTGAGTAGGGAGCTGATGGGTTCTGGAACTTTTTTTTACTTCAGGAACAGGAGGAATTGCTGATTCAATAGAAATAGTAGGATGAGTGGGAGTAGTAGCAGCAGTGGTATGGACAGAGTTGGGAACATCAGGAGTGTCAAGTATTTGAGAAGTAGGGAGAGGGGGATCTGGAGGGACAGAGGAAGCAGTAACAAGATCAGGAGTAGAATCATAAAAGGTAGGCATTGGAGGAGAAAGATGAGAGGGAGCAGAAGATGACAAAGTATAAGAAAAAACACATTTATAAAAAATGACATCCCTAGAATAGATAAAAGACTTAGTGGTGAGATTGTATAGTTTGTACCCTTTTTTAGCAAAAGGATAGCCAATGAAAACACAAGGAGATGTTTTAGGTGAAACTTATCTCTATAACACTTGGGAACACTAGCATAGCACATGCAACCAAAATGTTTTAAATGAAATAAGAAGGAGCAGTCCCATAAAGTAATTCAAATGGAGTCTTATTGGACAAAAATTTAGAGGAAAATATATTAATGATATAGGTTGTTGTTAAAACACAATCTTCCCAGAACTTGGTAGGAAGTTTGGATAAAGCTCTTGAGGTTTCTAGTAGATGTCTATGTTTCCTCTCTACCATACCATCCTGTTGTGGTGTGTATAGGCAAGTTGTTTGATGTATGATACCATTATCAGAAAAGAATTGAATAGCTGAATTGGAGGACCCAAGCTCCAAGGCATTATCACTTCTAACCTTTTGGACAGAAAGGTGAAACTGTGTCTTTACCGTGGCTATTAAAGCTTTAAGGAAGGTGAAGTCATAGCTCTTGGAGTGTAAAAGGTGTGTCCATTTGCTTTGCTATAGTCATTAACTATTGTCAAGAAATATTTTGCTCTAGAGTAAGTTTGGGTGTGGTATGGTCCCCCAAGTGTCAACATGAATAAGTTGAAAATAATGAAGTGGTAAGAGAAGAACTATCTGGGAATGATAACCTAAGCTGTCTAGCTAAAGGACAAATAGGACAAATAAGAGACTGCTTAGTAGATAAGTCATTAGAGATAGAAGACATATGTTTCATTTGAACAAAAGGAATATGCCCCAATCTATGATGCCAAAGAACATCATTTTATTCACATTATTTGAAACAGTACAAGAAGGTAAAGTAGAAAGATAACATGGATTCTCAATTTGTACATTTTGAATTGTACCACAACGTAAAGTACAAGCAGAATTGTGGCTCATATTTTGAACATTTGTACACAAAGAGATTCAGCATTATGTACTACATTATTGAAAAGAGAAACAGAATTATCAGGTGACATGGGAGGAGCAGAATGGTTGAATTGAAATTTGTATAATCCTTGGTCCATTCTACCAAGCTCCAGAAGGTTCTTCATATAATGGGCATGTAGAATTATGCAAGAAATAGAAGTGAATAACACATAACAATTGAATTGTGTTATTACCTTACTTATAGAAATTAGATTGTAATGGAAAGATGGAATGTACAAAACATTGTGTAGAATGAAAGAATGAAGGGGTGTAATATTAAAAAGGAGGTCCTTATTTGAAGTCATGTGGTCAGTTGCCCATGAATCTACTATCCAAACCTTTCCAGCTACACTAGTCAACATGTGCACAATAGAACTACCATTTAAACACATAGGAAGAGAAGAAGTACTACCGACAAAATTGGCAGATCCCATTAGAATAGGTTGTGTCCCTGAATCACCTAATGTAGACTGATTGAGCAATTGCATCAACTAGGAGTACTACTTTGGTAAGACCAGGGATCAAAGAGCTTTGATCAGTTAGAGAATACAGTGCAGAAGATTCAGAAATTTGTCCCTCAACACTTGCAGTAGTACTAAACTTTTTACCCTTTGTGAATTTGAAATTTGGTGGAAAACCATATAATTTGTAGCATTTTTCAATTGTATGGCTAGGTTTCTTGCAATACTTGCAAGACAAAGTAGTATTGGATTTTTGGTTGCTTGAATCAAAGTTCACCTTTTGTGTATTTTGTTTTGTAGATGAGAGTTGAGAAGGAAATCTGTTAATGTTGGAATTTGCATTAAAAGAGGTTGATTCTGAGTTAAATTGGGTATTGGGGACAACCTGTCTCTGTTTTTCATCTTGCAACAAAATGTTGTAGACAATATCAAGGGATGGCAATGATTGCATCATTAAGATATTGCTCTTAACCCCCACATAAACCTCGTATAGACCCATAAGAAATTGATGAACCCTGTCCACTTCCTTCTCCTTCTAGAGAGCTTCCTTAGCAGCCCAAACACAAGAATTTGCATGGCTGGTACACATAACCCCCAATTCATCCCAGAGTTTTTTAAGTTTGTTGAAATATGAAGCTATGTCGAGAGTCCCTTGATAAGTAGATGCAAGTTCTCTCTTTATTTCAAACACCTTAGTTCCACTAACAGTCCCATGCCTATTGTTAAATTGTTTCCATATGCTTTCAGCAGTTTTAGAATGTTGTACACTTTCAGCTATATCTGGAGAAAGTGAATTGATTAACCAGGATATGACCATATTATTGCACATGTCCCACTGCCTGTACTGAGGAGAATCCACAACATGCTTAGTGCAAGACCCATCGATAAAGCCTATGTTATTTCTAGCAGACAGAGACACAATCATACTCCTCCTCCAACCCCCCAAACTAGTCCCAAAAAAGGGCACAATAACCAAGGATACCCCTGGTATATCGGAAGGAAGGAGAAATAGTGGACTTGAGGTTTCAGGAGTATACATAGGAGAGGAAGAACTTGAGTTTGAAGTAGAATTAACCATGATAATAGAGTATAACAACAAAATTTCACAACAATCAATTCATACAAGAGAACAAATAGAGACGAGTGTACCACACTTCTTCACAACCTGAAGAAAAAAGGCCTTGACAAAAAAACTTTAACTTAAAAGGAAAGCTTTAGCTCTGGCGAAAACTAACAGAACTCCGATAATCACCAAAAACCCTAGCTTTGACAAAGATCAATAGAAATCCGATAATTAGCAACAAACTCCGACCAAAAAGGATCACACAATCGAGGAACCTTCCTTAATTCGAAATTTGGACAAAAAAATCAACTAAAAACTTCAGATTCTGAAACTCGGCGAAAATCAAAACAGTGATGATAAACTCGATGAAATTGAATGAGGGTAACATCGGTCGATGTATAACGATGGGGACTACGAGATTACCCGCTCTGATACCATGTTAAGAGTAGAAATCAACATCAGCGTGTAGATTTTTTATTAGGGTTCATAAGCGAAAGGAAAAGGGGGAAAACGTATGAGAGAGGAAAATATCTTCTGTTGTATTAACCAAGAATGAAAATGAAAGAATAGTCTAGAAGTTCATTTTGCCCCTATTTATATTTGGGCCTTTACAGTGTAAGAACAAAAAATTAAGGCTGATACAAATAAATAATGGGCTAGGCCCAAATGCTCCAGTTGTTGTGTTGGCCCAATATTCAGGTAACTCCAACAAGTTTTGTAAGGGGAAGAAAAAATTTCATCCAAAAACTACGGTAAACTAATTTTTGGGAACTTGAAAAATTTTAAATTTTCCCTCCAAAATATGATCATATTTCATAAAAAAATAATATTTTTTATTTTATTTTTATTTTTTTAAATGAAGCCAAAATCTATGGTCAGACAGGACTTCATATATTGTCGTGGAATGGTTTTTTCAATATCTCCATAGAGATAAAAAATTTTGCTATCACATTATCATGCTTATAGTTATAGCAAGATAAAATATGCACAAATTGCACTTAGGATGTGGTATTTAGGATCAAGAATTGTATATGCTTTAAAGGATTTAAATCCTTCAGGCATTGTCATATAAGTTAGGTCATATAAATAGACTTTAGACACATATCAAGCTTTCATGTCTTGCTAGACATATAAAATGGATAAAAGTGATTGCACACACCATCGACTTTATATTTTCAAGTGTTTGAACTGCAAGTCAAAAACTACATGTCTTTCATATGAAACCAATTCTACTTGAATTGGTTCTCTAGACTAAAGATCCTCATATATATTTCGGAAAAGGTCCAAGTTATACCATGTACTATGAAAAAAGGTTTAAATATACCCCTCGTTATACTTTTGGTCCAAATATACCCCTGTTGTTATACTATTGATTCAAACATACTCCTCTTCCGTTAAGTTTATCCAAGGTGGACATCTATCCTATGTGGCATTGACATGTGATGAGGTGGATACCACGTGATATACCACCTCAGCGCCCCTAACTTAACGGATTCCACGTATTCAGTTGGATCCCATCCCACCGGAAAATCACATTCAGGAAAAAGATGTTGCCAATGGTGTGACTAGGAGGTTAGAATTCTCCCTTTGTGAAGTTTTTTCGGCGAGTTCGACTGAGGTGGCTGAAATTGCACTACATGAAGCTGAAAGAATATTATCAGTCTGTCGTGAAAGATATAATGGAAAGTGATGGAGCATTGGACGCTTTCCAACAACACCTACTATTGGAAACCTCTTTCGTTGTTCCTGTACTGGCCTTTCCTTCAATATTTTTCCCAATCACCATGGCACTTGAAATTTCAGATAACAAGATTGATTCCATACTAAATTAGGGTACAAGTTACGAGAAGGGATTATGTAGTCACAATAAGATTGATTATTTATGGTGCATAATGCACATCGAGGTGAATTGTTTATGGTGGATGTAATTGTGACAATGGTGGCGGAGGGAAAATAAATTTTAGTGGTGAAAAAAAGAAGGGCTAAAATGGGTTAGGGGCGCTGAGGTGGCATGCCACATGGAATCCACCTCATCAAATATCAGTGTCACGTAGGATTGGATGTCCACCTTGGACAAACTTAACGGAAGATGGGTATATTTGAACTAATAGTATAACGATACTGGTATATTTGGACCAAAAGTATAACGAGGGGCATATTTAAACCTTTTCTCATAGTACAAGAGTATATTTGGACCTTTTCCGTATATGTTTAGCGTTATCATAAACGTAATCGACGAAAATTTGATATCAATTCCAACCTCCCTTTTTCATAAAGACATAATATAGATATCTCTTCATTCATATTTTTAGGTACCTGAACCTCTCTTGAGATTTTATGAAGTGTTATGTCATGTGATTTTCTAGATCACTTGCCTATTTATTATAATAATTTCGATAATTTGCTCATAATTTTTATTAAGAATTTTATTTGGTACCGATTTGTCTATCCGCTTCAGGCGCACCATAGACTTTATCCTTCTAAGACTTATTCTAATAGGAACATTTGTAGTGAGAATATAGTTACCTTTTTTGGGTCGGCATATGTGTTTGCATGCTTTGCAATATATTGTAGATGAATTCTCTTTTTATGAACTTCAAGTTCATACTGTCTTATTCGAGGATCTGGATGTACAAATGATAATTTATTCTATGTTACTTTTTCTTAGATATTTATCTTGTCTCCCCCTCATGTTAGAAAAACGAACTTGCTTCCTCAACTTTGAAAATCCACTTTTGTGAGTTATAGTGTTAATCAAAATATACACCGCACGTAAATAATAATAAGATGGTTTTGGTTCCTATCCTTGAACCATTTGTGAGGGAAGAATGTAATATACTTTGATATATAACATATATCAAGCAGATATAGATAACTTTGTTCTCATAAATAATAGTTTAGCTATTAAGCGAAGGTGTAACAATCCGGTAGTCATTTTCAGTATTGTAGCCCCGTTCCCCTATTTATTGACTATTCTATGTTCTTTTATAGTTATGTGACTTGCTGGGGTGGTTGGTTTAGTTTCGGGTGAGTGGAGTTAATTGGGACACTTAGTCGTAAAGTTGAAAACTTAAGTTAAAAGAGTTGACCGGAGTTTCGTATTGTGATTTTGGACTTAGAAGTATGTCCAAAAGTTGATTTGGAGTTTTGTAGGTTGATTTGGTACTTTTTGGCGAAAGTTGAAAGTTTATAGGTTTGACCGATGGTTGATTTTATCGATATCGGGCTCAAATTATAATTCTGGGAGTTGGTATAGATCCGTTGTGTCATTTGGAACTTGCACACAAAATTTGAGCTCATTCGGAGTTGGTTTATTATGATTTGGCATTAGTTTAGAAGTTGAATGTTTATTGATTCAATAAGCTTGAAATGAGATGCAATTCATAGATTTGATGTTGTTTGATGTGATTTAAGGTCTCGAATAGGCTCGTGTTATGTTTTGGGACTTGATGGTATATTTGGATGGAGTCTCGGGAGCCCCGGGTGTGATTCGGATTAAATTCGAATCCATTTTGGACTTAGGAAGACTGCTGAAGAAATCTGAGTTTTGGCGTTATCCCACCTGCGGTGGGCTTGGCCGCAAGTGCGGCTGGAGATCGTAGAAGCAAAGGGAGGCTGGCTAGTGGAAAGTCGCAGGTGCAGACAACTGGCCTCGGGAACACACACGCAGAAGCGTTGACTAGTCTGCAGAAGCAGAATTTGGGCGAGCATTGAGGGATCACAGGTGTGGTTGATGGTCGCAGAAGCGCGTAGGGTATCCGCATGAGCGGAAGTGCAGGTACGCCTTTTGTCTGCAAAAGCAAAAATTGCTTAGCTAAGTGGAAGACGCATCTGCGATGAAATTTCCACAGGTGCAGAGTCGTAGATGTGACAGTTAGCCTTCAGAAGCAGAAAATGCTGGGCAAAATGGCTTATTCAAGGGTTTTATTTCATTCACCACATTTTTAGTTAGAGATCTCGGTTTTGGGCGATTTTGGAAGGAATTTTCAAGGATTGGATCGGGATAAGTGTTCTTGACTCATATTTGTTTATTATTCATGATTCCATCATTGTTTTTATCATTTAATTAGTGATTTGAGTTGGAGAAATTGGGAGATTTTGTAAAAACTTTCATATACCATAAATTGGGAGTTTGAAGGTCGATTTGAGGTCAAAATTGGATAATTTTAATATGGTTAGGCTCATATTGGAATGGGTGTTCATATTTTGTAAGTTTGGTCGGGTTCCGAGGTACGAATCCGGGGTTGACTTTTTGAGTTGACTTTTTGATTTTCATTAAAGATTGAAACTTTATTATCCGGAATTGCTTCATATATAAATGTAAGGATCACACGGTGGTATAAGGAAAGGTTGTGATATTGAAATGTGAAATGTGGATATGAGGTGGTACCTCGGTTGTGATTCTTGTTGTACATTTTGTGTTAAAGAGGCTTGTTGCTGGAACAGTTTTGTTATCTCTTTATTTGCCTTACTCGTATTTGCCCGTATTGATTTATTGATATTCTTATCACGTGTTCGCTCTTTGTTGCTTTACAACTTTAAAATTTTGTTGTTAGCTACATTATTGAGCTGCCTTATTGTCATCTATTTCCTCGTCTCCCGTTTTTTGGCTATACTATACCTTGTTGTGATGACCCAAAAGGTCATCACTTATTTTAAAAATAAATTATGTGTTCCAAGACCTTAAAAACCTCTTTCTGCATCACCTCGATTTGCATGTGCAGTCCGGGTTCATAGCCGGAAAGCCATTATGTGAAAATCTGTGAAAATGGTGAATTTTGACTTTAAAATGAATTTAAGTTGACTTCGATCAATATTGTGGGTAAACGGACCCAGAACCATGATTTGACTGTCCCGGAGGATCCGTAAGAAAATATGGAACTTGGGCGTATGCCCAGAATCAAATTTCGAGGTCCCAAGCCTGAGAAATGAATTTTTAAAGAAAAATTATTTTCTAGAATGTATTTATGAGTTTTGGAAATGAAATGTGTTTGAAACCATTGGTATCGGGCCCG